GGCAAGTCACTTTACCTCTCTGTGCCCCAGTTCCCTCACACTAAAGTGGGCTTAATAAGAACAATACCTACCATAGTGAGTGCGTTCGATTAATGCATATGGAGCGCAGGCGCCCGGCTGGCTCAGTCAAGGGAGCAGGCGACTGTTGGTCCCAGGGTTGTGAGTTCAAGCCCCACGTTGGGGGTAGAGATTACTTAAAAATATAACCTTAAAAAATAAAATACATGGAATGCATAGAGCAGTGCTTGGCCCAGAGTGAGCGCTTCACAATTGCTATTATTATTGTTACTATTAGAGCTCATTCATTTCTTCACCTGGCGACACGGTGATGCCTCCCAGATCTGTGTCTGCGCTGTGACCTCTCTCTGAACTCCCACCGCGTACATCCAGTCACCTCCTGGCTCTGTCCCTTTGGATGTCCTGCGCTTAACACATCCTCGATGGAATGCCCCATTTCCTGTCCCCCCCGCAATGTGTTCTGCCCTCCGTCTTCCCCTCTCGCATAACAGGGCCACCTTCTGTCCACTCCTCAAGGCCAGTCACGAGGAGATCCTGGATCTGCGCCCTGCCAGGCACTCCATGACCCCACCCTGGTCCTGTCCACCCTCCTCTCCCTCCTTGCTGTTCGCCGGACCCCTCTCAGCCGGAGATCAGTTATGTTTCCTCCTTTCCCACCTTCCCTGAGATGCCACTTAGAATGCATTACACCTACCTGCCTACAAGATAAACCTATGCACTGCCCCATTTCTCACTGATCTCGTCGCCCCTACATTCCCTCTGCTCCGGCCTCCCTGCTGTTCCCCAAACACACTAGGCTTGGTCCCACCCCAGGGCCTTTGCACTTGCTGTTCCTGCTGCCTGGACACGCTCAACTCTTTCCCCTTCTTCAGGTCTCCACTCAAACGTCACCTCCTCCGAGAAGCCCTCCCTAACTACCTTAGTTAAAACAAGCTTCCAGCTCCTTTTCTCTGTCCCCACAGCCTGTTCTTCACCTCCACAGCAGTTGATACTGTTTGTCAATTAACCAGCTACCCCTTGACTTGTTGAAGTTGTCAATTAACCACTCCCTTCCTGCACAAGGCCAGAAGCCCCGTGGGGACAGGAAGCTGTCTGTTTCTTCACCATTATATCCCCGATGCACAGGGCTTGGGGATGTAAGTAACAGTATTACTTAATAAGTATTATTACTTATTATTCTTTAGTACTTAAGTATTTGTTTAAAGAATAAGAGGTAGAAAGGCAATGGGAAACTAGGAATCCTTGTTTCCTGTCTCTACTTTTTCTTCACATCAATAGCAGCCTATGAGGCCCACTGTTGGACATCTTGCTCTTTTCACTTAACAGGCTTGTAGATATTTTCTTCTTAGTATGGATACAGAGTTGCTGTATTCTTTTTGTTTTGCTCCTTATTGAGGTATAACTTACATACAATAAAACGCACCCATTTCAAATGGATAGCTTGGTGAGTTTTGACAAACGTATTCTCCCATATAACCACCACCACCATGAAGACAGAACTTCCGGGGCGCCTGGGTGGCTCAGTCGGTTGAGCATCTGACTTTGGCTCAGGTCATGGTCTCAGGGTCCTGGGATCAAGCTTTGTGTCTGCGCTCAGCACGGAGCGGAGTCCGTTTGTCCCACTGCCCCCCCCACCCCGCCCCCTGCTCATGCTCTCTCTCTCTCTCTCTGCATGCGAGAGAGAGAGAGAGAGAGAGAGAGAGAGAGAGAGAGAGAGCACAAGCCAGGGGGAGGAGCAGAAGGAGAGGAAGAAGCAGACTCCTCATCGAGCAAGGAGCCCAATGTGGGGCTCGATCCCAGCACCCCAAGATCATGACCTGAGTGGAAGGCAGATGCTTAACCGACTGAGCTACCCAGGTGCCCCCTTAATAAATAAAGTCTTAAAAAAAAAAAAGAATGAACTTCCTCATCTCCCCAGAAAGCCCACCTCCCACCTCCACGCCTCTTTGCAGTTGACCCGCCCTGGCCCGCACCCCACTCCCCACCCCAAGTCCAGGGAACCACCGACCTCCTTTCTTGGATTCTAGATGTCCGCTGCCTTTTCCAGCGTTCTCCCTAAACGGAAGCACACAGCCCGTGCACTTTTTGGCTTGGCTTTTGTCACTGCACGACGGTGTTTGGTTTCAGCAAGTGCTTGTACGTGTGAATACCTAGCTCCTTTTTCTTACTGAAAGATAGTGTGGACGTGGCACGACTTCATCCTCCTGTTGATGGACCCTCGTGATGGTTCTCAATTTGGCACTGGTAGGAAAAAGTGTTGTGTGCGCGCCTTTGTGTGGACGTGTGCTTCCACTTCTCGCTAAATCCTGGGAGCGGGGGGACGGCCACCCTGCAAGGTGGGAGGGCATCTGGTTTTTTGTTTTTGTTTGTTTTTTTAACTACTCTCCACACCCAACACTGAGCTTGATCTCACCACCCCAGAGATCAAGAGTCACCCGCTCCCCGGACTGAGCCAGCCAGGAGCCCCGGATATCTGGTTTTATAAGAAATTGTCAAATTGTTTTCCAAACTGGTCCCATGATTGCTCATGCTCTGAATGCTTTGTGACCCATGAGAGGTGGCTTTAGGGAGTGGTGGTACGTCAGTCACCCAGGCCTCAGCCTGTTCAGAAAACAGGTCCCCACACCAGGACCTTCACCACTTGAAGGTGGAAGGAGGGGATGTTTGAGATCCACTTGGCTTTGTGCCCCCGATTCCTCAGATTTAAGTAACAGTGTTTCTCATAGTATGGCAGGCGCAGGAGAGATGCTTCTGAAATTTTCCACTCTGGGGCCCAGAGGGACCAAGGCTGACTCCTGGCAGTGGGACTGGGGAGGACACATTTTGAGTGAGCATCCTGGGTGAGTCTGACATGCCGTAAAGCTTGGGACCACTGCGTGTGGGTTGGGGGTGGGGGGGGGTAGGTGGGAGGAAAAGTCATTCCAGGTAGAAAGAACTTTGGGCGCAAAATGCCTGAGATGGGAGAGAACAGGTCAGGGAAGCAGGGACCAGAAATCCAGTCCTCGAATGGCAGCCAAAGAGCGGGGATTAGTCTCCTGAGGGCACTGGGGAACCATGGTGGGTTTAAGTGGGGGTGTGACTGTTTGGGTTTGGGCTCTTGTAAGGCCCCTGTGACTGCCATCTGTGTGTGTGCGTGCGTGCGTGCGTGTGTGCGTGTGTGTGTGTGTGTGTGTGTGATATAGAAGGGGTGAGGACCCCAGGAAGGAGATGATGGGAAATGTGGTGTGGAAACTGTGGCAAGCCGGGGGGAGGGGGAGCAGGCAGAGGAGGGGTGCGGACCCCATTCTGCACACTCTTTGCTGCAGGCCACTCCCTGCCTTGGATCCTGACCTGGGGACAACCGACTCCCCTCACCAGACACCCCCCCGCTCTGGCTCTGCCCCCTTCTTCCTCCTCCCTCACGCTTCTTCCTGCTGCTCAGGCTCCGGTGAGGACCGGTGGGCTGGCGGCCAGATATGGGTATGGGCTTGTGTGCTCGAGGTGGCCGGGGGAGTGTCTCCAGCTGTACGTGCGCTCTGAGCTCGCTGAGTGTTTGTCTGAGAGTCTCCTGGGACTTCCTGGTGCATCTGGGCTGCAGCCCTGGGGTGCATTGGGTGAGTTACTAAACCTCTCTGTGCCGGTTTCCTCATCGGCAAAATGGGTATAGCAATAGTATCTATTTCCTAGGGAGGATGTGGAGATGGAGTTAATTACTCAGAGCCATGCCTGGCACACAGGCAGCCCTCAATTATATAAGCAGCATCATTTGGGCGTGAGCTGAACTCCGTGTCCCGGGCATGTGTCTGTCGTTGGCGTCTTGCAGGAATCTGGGGCCGGAAGTGCCCCTGGAAGCATCGGGGGTTATCTGGGGCAGCATGGGAGCAGGCCTGCGAGGGTGGCCTCTCTTTCCTTCTCTGTGCAATGGGAATAACTACAGCACCCCACACACGGTCGGCGGGTGCGCAGGCAAGCCTTGCGCTGGAGGGCGTCTTTACGCGCGCCTATTACCTTTCCTTTGTCGATAAAGTGCAGCTGATAGTGGTGTCCTCCTCCGTCTCTGTTGCCGGAGGATGACACGAACTGGTAAGCACCTAGAACAGCACCCAGTACCCAGAAAGCGCTCCCTGTGGAAGCTGCCATTGGCACTCGGCGCCTGCGCTTGCCTGGGCAGGATGTGGGGTGTGGGATGTGGCCCAGGCAGGAGGCGGCCGTGGGCATCTGGCCCTACAGGTTCCTCGTCACCCCACTTCCTCCGCACCCCGACCTCTTGCCCCCACCATTGCCCCATCCCTCACTCCCAAATCCCCAGGACCTCTGAGGGCAGAGGCTTTGGTAGCCGTGCCCTCTGCCCCAGCCCCCGGAAGGGGTACAGACACCCCCCAAAACCCAGGTGGGGTTACTTCTCCCCTCTCTGCTGCTATCTCAGTGCCTCCCTGGGGTCCCTCCATCTCTGTGCCTCTGAGCGTCTCTCCGCCCTCCACTTTGGTTTCCAGAACAGGAAACGTCAGGGTCCCAAGGGGGTGTCCCAGGTGAGGAAGCAGCGGAGGCAAGACCTCCCCCCTCCTCCCAGATGAGAGTGGGGGTGGGGGAAAGAGGGGGTCTTCCTTAATGAACCTCTTAATCCTGCCGCGCCGGATCTTAACGAGGGGGAGGGACCTCATTAGAGGGCAGGGAGCCCTGACATTAGCTCCTCCGTCACACCCCTCTCCCAGGGCCAATGCCTGGGCCCTCAGCTGGCCCTGGGGAAACCGGGGCGGGAGGCTTGGGAAACCGAAGAGGGGCTGGGGGCCCGGACTCCTGGGTCCTGGAGGAGGGGACGACCTGCACTCCTGGGTCAGACGGAGCAGGGAGCTGGGTACCTGGCCTCCTAAGTCTGAGGGTGGAGGGCCCGGGGACCCGGAGCCTTCCCCTAACACACCCCTCTCTCCAACGCCCCGCCCCTCCCGCCTCCAGTTAACCCCAAGCCTGCGGAGGAGCCGGGGACAGTCGCCCGGAGCCCACGGATGGAGGAGGAGCGCGACCGACACGCGCTCGGCGGCGGGATGGAGGCCGACGAGCCCGCCAGCCCCCGGGAGCCGCCGTCGCCACCCCCGCCGCCGTCGCCGCCGTCCCCCGCGGCCCCCGACGCCCCCGGGCCCCCCCAGCCCGAGCAGCCGTCGGAGGCCTACGCGCGGCAGCTGCTGCTGGAGGAGTGGAGGCCCCCCGGCGGGAGCCTCGAGCTGCCCCCGCGCCTCACCTGGAAGCTGCTCTTCCTGCGGCGGCCGCTCTACCGCAACCTGCTCCGCTCGCCCAACCCCGAAGGTGCGGGAAGGTGCGGGACGCGGCGCGGCACCCCGACCGACCGCCGCCCGGTCTCCGCCTTCCGCCGCGCGCGGTTCACTCGGACCGTCGCGCTCCTCATCTTTCTGTCTGCTCCCTCGTGTCTGTTCCCTGGGCTCTATCTCCGTCTCCCTACATCCTTCCCTGTCTCTTCTGTCATTGTGCCCCTCTCCGGCTCCTTGCGGCTCTCTCTTGCCACCCCGCATCGCCCTCTCTCTCTTTCTATGTCATACGTCCCTGTCTATCTCTCCCGGTGTCTTCCTGCCTTACCCTGGATGTCTACCTCTCTCTCCCTGCCTCCCTCCCTGCCTGCATTCCTGTCTCTTTCTCTAGGTGCCGCTTGCTCTGTCCCTCTGTCTCTGTCTCACCAGGACGCCCTCCTCCTCCTTCCCTCCTTCCCTCCTTCCCTCCTTCTTCACTGCACCATCCTTTCCCCCTCCCCCTTCGCCTCCCCCTCCCCCGCCCGGGGACATTCTCAGGACTCTCCCAGGGCCCTGACTCACACATCCCTGCCAGGCAGGTCTGGCCTGGTACAGATTCCTACCCTTCAGCAGAGCCCTGGGCGGAGGGAGGCAGGCGGAGGCCCAAGGGCTGGAGGCGGTTTCAGCCACTGAGGCTCCATTCACCCGTGCATTTCAGGCATCAACATTTATGAGCCAGCACCCCCTACTGGTCCCACCCAGCAGCCCCTGGAGACGCTGGGTAAGTGCTTGCTGGCTGGGCCCAAGGGGACGGAGTGGTCCTGGGGAATGGGCATGTTCTAACCCTCTGCTCCTCCACCTGCCAGGCAACTTCCGCGGGTGGTACATTAGGACTGAGAAGCTCCAGCATGACCGCAGGTGGGTGGCCAGGACCCCTGGGGCCCTGCTCCAGCTTCTCACTGCAGGGCCCAGAGAAACTGACTGTGTGCCCCTCTGGGCCTTAGTTTCCTGCTCCGTACCCAGGGTTTGTCATAAAAGAGGACGCCTGTAAAACACAGCACAGGCTCTGGCTGGGTCCAGCTTGCATATAGTAGGTGCTCAATAAATAGCCCCTATCACAGTTACTCTTCTCCCCCTCTTTCCCTGGGAGGGGGAGTCACCCAGGCCACCATCTACCCTCCATTAAACCGAGCCCTGCTTCTGCACGTTGGGTGAGACGGTGTAATTCAAGGGCTGGGTTGGGAGCCCAGCTCTGCCACTTTGCTGCTTGACCTTAGGCAAGTGACTTCCCTTCTTGAGCCTCTGTTGCTCATCTGCATCATGGGGTTCAGACAATCTGGCCCTCAGAGGGGAGTGGGGGGAGCTGAGGCTATAAGGTGGGGAGTAAATGCTTAGCACCCGTACATGGGTGCTCTTGATGTCTCTACGAGGGCACCATGATCGAGGTTTCCTGCTCCCAAGAACCCCAGCTGGTCCCAGACCTCACCTCCCTGTGCCCTCTCCCGCAGCTGGACGGTGAAGCAGCAGTGTGTGGATCTTCTGGCCGAGGGCCTGTGGGAGGAGCTCCTTGATGATGAGCAGCCGGACATCACGGTCATGGACTGGTACGCGCCTCTGCGCAGTCAGCCTGCCCCGCCGGGTCACGCACAGGGCTCCCCAAAGCGCGAGCCTCACCTGTCCTCCCTCCCCTGGTGTGAGCTGGTCACCAAGACCCTCCTGCTACCGTTCTAGCCCCTTCCCTCTGAGACTTCCAGCTTCTGAGATGTGCCAGGCTGGACACTCGTCCCTTCGTTCTTGGATGCTTGTCACCCTCTGTTCTCGAGACAAATTCCTCCTTATCCTCTGGGATTCTGCTATACGTGGCTCCACCAGGAAGCCTTCCCTGACCACCCCCATGCTGGGTCAGATGCAGCATGCTCCAGTGCCCTGGACTTCCCCCACCGCAGTCCTTAGCATTCCGGATGGTCACTGTCTGCTGACAGGTCGGCCTCAGACTATGTGACTTCCACGAGGGCTCCACGGGGGGCCATTGTGGTCACTTGGTCAGTGCCGGGGGCACAGAGCGGGAGCCAGCGATGTGCCTTGTATGGTGCTTAGGGCCAGGGGCCAGGGGCACTTCGGTGGCAGCTAATGGCCTGGACCCTACCCCCAGGTACGAGGACAGCCGGCTGGACGCGTGTGTCTACGAGCTGCACGTCTGGCTGCTGGCGGCTGACCGACACACGGTCATCGCGCAACACCATGTGGCCCCCCGCACCTCTGGGCGGGGCCCCCCCGGCTGCTGGCTCCAGGTGAGCCTCTGGCCAAGCCCCGCCACGTGTTCATGTCCCAAGACCTCAGAGAGGGCGGAGGTAGGAGACGAGGGTTCCCGGGTCCCTGATGGCACTTCTCCCTCACCCCCGGTGCCGCCGCAGGTGTCCCACGTCTTCCGCCAGTATGGCCCCGGCGTGCGCTTCGTCCACTTCCTGCACAAGACCAAGAACCGGCGGGAGGCCGGCGGGCTGCGGCGGACGAGGGTGACCGATTCCTCCGTGTCTGTGCAGTTCAGGGAGTGACTGGCTGTTCGGCTCCCGGCCTGTTCTGACCCCTTGTCTCACGTGTCCACTGCCTTGACACTTTCCTGATCCTCTAGCACCTCCCTGATCTCTTAGCAATTCCCTGACCCTTTGCACCTCCCTGACCCCTTAGTATCTCCTTGTACGCTTTATCCCTTTGGATCTCTTAGCATCTCTTTCACCTCCCTGGCCCTCAGAAGTCCCTAGCCCTTAGTGCCTCCCTGGCCCTTTAGCTCTGCCCTGTTGTCTTACTGCACAGCACCACCTGTTTCCGTCATATCTTCATGACCCCTCAGCTTCTCTTTGATCACTTACCACCTCCCAGGCCCCTGATTCCTGCCCAGCCCTTGATTTCCCACTAATATCTTCCCACCCCCTTGAATGCCTGACTGGCGTTTCTTCTGCGCTCTCTGAGCTCCAGGAGGGCTGAGGGCAGCGACCACTTCTCCCCGAGCCAGTGCTCGACAGATAGTAGGTGCTTCATAAATCTTTGTTGATTGATGAATAAATTCACGAGCACAAGGATGCCAAGCATTTCCCTGGTCTTTGCTTCTCAGAATGACAGAGTTCACATATCCCACTGGCACTTCCTGTAATCCTTATTCTCGGGCACCTCACTACCTCTGTGCCATTTGCAGCTCCCTCGATGACCTCTGGTCTCTTCACATATCCCCAGTTCACAGCCTCTTGGCATCTCCACTTACCTCTCCGCTCGTATTTCGGCCTCTCAGACGCTCCTCACATTTCCTCTCCCCCTCCAACCCCAAATTCTCACCCCCCAGAGCTGTCCCCATACCTCTCCTCCCTACAATACCCTCATTTCTCCTCCCTCATTCCTCCAGAGTCCCCAAAGCCATCAGGGCACCCACCAAGGGCCATCATCACTGGGGATGGTGGTGGGACAGACGGCAAATTTGACCTAAAAGTTTTTTTCGTGTGTTGGGGAAAGAAAGATTGAAAGTCTTTAACAACTCCTAAGTTCTCGGCCAGATCAAGCAAGAGACCCTGGTCTTAGCCTGGGGCAGGGTCCTTGAAGGCCCCTTGGTGTCCCAGGCCTGACTCCTCAGGGAGGCTGGAGGTCCCTGGCAGGCCAGAACAGCTGGGGAGCATTCGTGGGGAAGGGCTATCTACCAAAAAGTGCGGGAAGCATTTTAATGTTTAACAATCAGCCAGTGGTATTACTGCATGTTACATACGTGTCCTGTGGATGTGTGTCTTTTTGTGCCCACCTAAATCCATGGCCAAATCTCTGAGTACAGCCCCACCTCCAGCATTGTCCCAGGTATGGGCTGAGGCAGGCCAGACTAACCTGCTCTCTCCCCCACCTCACCCTGTCCTATGTGGACTTAGGTCCCAAGCAGGAGTAGATGGCAGACGGATAACTTCAAAAGGGCTATATTGCAGGGAAGGCGCGGGGCGGGGTTGGGGGGGGTGGGGCAGGCAGAAGTTCTCTCCTCCTGGGGGTTGGGGCCTTCAGCAGACCTCAGTGATAAGGCCAGGTGAGGGGCTCTGCCCCGTGTGGGGGTTGAAGATGAAGTATCTTTAAGGCATCAGTAACACCTGCAACAGAATAAAAATTATCACCAGGGGGGTGCCAGGGGCTCAGAGATCCAGGGTGTGGGGGGGGGGTTCTAAAAGGCTGAGATGGGGTGGAGGGCTGGGGCTGGGCTCCAAGTTCAGGAACTAGGCATCCTGGGGGCTCTTGGAGCTCTTGTGGACGGAGAGGGAAAGGTGAGGTGGTTTTGGAGAATGCTAGGACTAGATTTAGGGTCCCACGGTCTGTGATCTCCCACAGGTGAGCGCACAGTGGACTGGGGGGGGGCAAAGTTGGATCTGGGGGGCTCCAGAACCTTAACAGGGACTTTGGGACTGGTTTCCAGGGCTGCGTCTGATCTAGAGGGTCTACATGGGTGGAGAGCATGAGGGTAGATAGCGTGTTCCCAGAACTGGGTCTGGAGTCTTGCAGTGGGTCAGTTTAGAGTCTGGGAGTCCCAGAGCTGGCTCTGGTGGCTCCGGGAACTGGGACAACTGGCTTTGGTTCTGGGGGCTCCAGGGTGAGAGAACTCATGGCTCCCCATCCCCACGTTAGGCCTACCTAGGACTGCAGCTCTGGGCAGATCGGCAGGTGGAGGATTCAGGAAGGCGGGAGGCAGGTGCTCCCAGAATGGAGGCTAGGGGCCTAGGGGGTGGGGTCAGCTTCTGACTCTGGGAATCCCAGAGTTGGGCCCGGGAGGTCCGAGGGCCATGGGCTTGGGGGAGGGGGTGCGGGGAAGAGGAGGGGGACCTCCAGGATTGGTTCTAGGGACTCCCAGTGGGGGGGTCGGGGGCCGAGGGGCCTGGGAGCCCCGGGTTGGCGCGGCGGACGCGGAGGCGGGGCCGGGCGGGCACCTGCAGTAGACCGACGCGATGGTGTTGGACCAGTGGCCGAAGATGCCCTTGCGGAACTCTTCGAGGCGCGGGTAGACGCCGGTCGAGAACTTGCGCGACTTGCCGGCCTTGCCGCGTCGGGACCACACGGTGATCTCGCAGCGCGGGGCCACCACAAGCGAGGAGGCGACGTTCGTCCAGTCGGAGGGCAGGAAAGGCAGGTCGGTTCCCGGCTCCAGCGACAGCTCGGCGCCCCCGCAGCAGTTCTCGTAGTAGGGGTCGCTCTTGTCGTAGAGCTTGGCGCACGTGCGCGTCCCGTCGGCCTTCTTGAGGTCCGCGGTTGCCGGGCAGGCCGCTCGGGCGCCGGGGACGGCCGCCAGGGCCAGGGCCAGCAGCAGGGGGCACAGCGGGGACATGGCGACACTGCGGGGCCTCGTCCCCGCGCCCTTTTATGCATCTGACCCGTGGGAAAGGAGAAGCTGCGAGATAAGGACGCCCTCCCCAGCCTACCCCCGCCTCACCCCCGCCCCCCACCCCTCCCGGGGCGGGAAACCTTCCTAACCGAGGTCAGAGACCCACAGCCGTTGAACCGACATACTTGTGTACAACTTAGCAGCTTAAGATTTCACGTGGCAAACAACCCCCTTTCCAAATAAGGAGAGGCCAACGGAGGGGGAGGGAGAGGGGGCTGGGTCTCCAGGCTGGGCAAGTCCCCCCCCCCCCCCCCCAGCCCCGTCCGTCTGGGAAGCAGAAGCTTGGGAAAGGAGAAGCTGGAGATAAGGAGAGAGAGGCCCCAGAGGGGAAGGCAGAGGAGGGGAGGAGATGAGGAGAGAGATCCCGCTCCCCTCAGGAGCAGGAGACAGCTTCCCAACCAAGGTTGGAAACCAAGAATCTGTGAAACAGACATATTTGCACAACACTCAAAAACCGTTGTAAGGCAATGTCCAAAAGGCTTGGGGAAAAACTTGCAACACTTGAGACGGGATATAACTAATAGCTGTAATATATAAAGAGTGCTTACAAATCGTGGAGAAGAGATCAAACAATCCCCCACCCTGCCACCCCCAAGAAAGACAAGCCTTGGAGGGCGAGAGGGAAGGAAGAGGAAGCTGCCATCCCCCTACTCCCACTTCTCAGGAGCCAGGAGATTTTCTTAATGAAGATTGGAAATCTTGAATTTATAACATAAACAGAGGACCTATGGAGCTGTATAAAATGTAAACCTTTTGTACAGCAACAAACACAGACTAAACAAAGACCTAACCTGGGGGAAAACAGACAATTCTTGTAACATACAATAAGCAGTTACCAATCGGCAAGCAAAAATGACACAAGCCAAAGGAAAAATTGAGGAGCAGCCCAGGATGGATAGAGAGGCTGGGACCTCAGAGTGGGGCAGGGAGCTGGGCATCTTGGGAGCCCGGCCAGGGCCCTTTGGAGACTCTTTGGAGTTCCTGGCCTCCTGTTAGATGAGCACCAAGTCAAGCATGGATGAACCAATCAGACAAACGGTGGTTCAAGTCTGTGGCTCTGTGGGTAAGGCCAAACCTGGGCCTCAGTTTCCTCATCTGTAAAATGGGTGATATTTTCTTCCTATACTATAGGATTGTTATGAAGATTACAAGGGATAATGGAAAGTACACGGGGAATGGGGCAAAGGAACAGCCTCTGGAGCCAGGCTGCCTGGGGCCAAACGCCAACTCCTCCTTGAGCTGTCTGCACCTGATTCCACCTCTGGGCTTTAGGGAGACAATGATGGTATCCATCTCAGGATGCTGGTATAAGGGGTGAGTTAATCCACATGACAGCACTAATAGTAGGGCCCTTGCCAAGTGCCATGTGAGCATTTGCCATCACTGTTATTATGCCAGCCCTTAGCATGGTGCTCAACAAACATAAAGCAGCACAACACAACATCAGCACCAATCTGTTGTCACCCCCTCCTCGTCCCCTGGATGCTGTCTCCCGCCTTGGCCAGGGTAATGCAGTAGTGAAGAGCCAAAGGCTGGAAACACTTGGAAGTAGGTTCAAATTTTGACTCTGTCACCTTGCTGAGTGACCTCAGGCAAATGAATTCACCTCTCCGAGCTTCGGTCTCCTCCTGCCTTCAGTGGGATAACAGAAAATGATAACAGAAAATTATTACATAAAGAAATCTAGAACCGGGGTGCCTGCGTGGCTCTGTTGGTTAGGCATCTGACTTTGGCTCAGGTCACAATCCCAGGGTCCTGGGATCGAGCCCCAAAGTCGGGCTCCCCACTCAGCAGGGAGTCTGCTTAAAGATTTCTCTCCCTCTCCCTCTGCCCCTCCCCCTGCTCGTGCTCTCTCTCTCTCTCTCTCAAATAAATAAAATTCTTAAAAAAAGAAATCTATAACTGACAGACTAAAATATGATTCATAAACATTAGGAACAATCCACATCATTGCTATTTATAAATATAAATACTTAATATTTAATACTGAATGAAAACAGTATCGATATAAATATATAAGGCACCAAGTACAGTGCCTGGTACATGGAAGATGCTCCATAAACAGGAGCTGCTATGACTATTCTATGATTCTGAGACCCTGGATCCTGGCCTGGCCCTGTCGCAAACCAGACCTGGATCCTTCTCCCTCCTTCCATGGAATCTAATCTCCAGCTGCTAACTTCCCAGCCGGCCTCCTTGACCTCAGGGGCACAGAGCCCTCACCCTCCTAGCTCTGCCGGCCCTGGACTCAGGGATGGAGACAGGTAAGTGTAGTGTGGATGGAAAGGACCATGAGCGTCAAACACTGTAGCAACACAGGGCAGGAAGGAGACTCTGATAGGGAGAAGATTCGGTGACAGAACACAGGACCCAGGGGGCCACAGCACATAGCCGGCGTTAGAGAGAACCCATGGAGACCCAGGGTGAGCGCACAGCATCCCCAATCAAGGGACACATACATGGGCAAGTGGGTAGGGACATCCCTGTGACAGTCAACCACTGATGGTCACTGAGTCTCACTCGTGAGTCCTAGAGAACAGCACGCATTGAGTGTAGACACATGCTTGGTACACACAGTCCAAGAGAAACACGGTCCCAAATAATGCGCCCCCCCAACAGAAACACACCCACCATCACCAACAAGCCCCTAGCCCTCAAGCACTCCCACCCTACACCCCATGAAATCTCAAAAGCACAAAACCCCATACACACATCTGTCATGCCAGAGGGAGCACCCACAAGGCATCTTCGTCCAGAAGCAATTCCGTTACTGTTTATTAACACAAACTGGGCAAATAGTAGAAAAATAAACATCTCCTTTTTTTTCATTTTTTTCTTCAAAAAGTGTTAGAATGTCCTACCCTTGAGGAACCCCGTGAGCCTTTGAGAAAGTCAGACGATAAATCAATAATTCGAACACAATGTGAAAAGAGTTAAAACAGGGGCATGGCAAAGGACTCTGGGAATATAGTGGGAAGAATAGCAGGGTTTCTTTAATATCCGCTGATATATTTTGATTCGTATACTAAGGAAAAAAATCTTCTCTTCAGATCGCACAGCCTTAATTCCACATTTTCCACAAGACCATAAAAAAGATTGGTATGCTAATGAAATTGCCACTAGTAGAAAAATAAAATATTCGTCTCAATTAGGGCAGTACCTGAACATAAACAACACTATAGGTGGCACATAGTTTAAATGAAAATGCAGTCTGTTGCATAAATACAGGAAAATATTCAGATCAGTACTCAAGTTCACACCGGATCATGGAAACTCACTACACTTCTGCATCGATATGGCACTGAATGGGATTATTTCTATATAATCCTTAAGGGCTAATATGACCCTCCAAAGCAGCCATAATTGTGTGGTTTGGAAGTAATGATTCTAGAAGTGTGGTCTCTAGATCAATGGCATCGGCATCCCCTGGGGACTTGTTAGAGATGCAAATTCTGGGTGCCTGGGTGGCTCAGTTGGTTAAGCATCTGCCTTTGACTCAGGTCATGATCCCAGGGTCCTGGGATCCAGCGCGCCCCGCCCCCTGCGTTACCCAGCGGGGAGTCTGCTTCTCCCTCTGCCCCTCCCTCCGCTTGTGCGCTCTCTCTCTCAAAAATAAATAAATTTAAAAAAAATGCAAATTCTCTGCCTCACCCAAGTTGTTTGAATTAGAAACTCTAAGGGTGGGGCCCAATAACTTGAGTTTTAAATGCCCTCCTTGGGGATTCGATACTTGCTGGAGTTTGAGAACCACTGGGTTAAGGCGTTGGTCTTCTAAGGTTTCCTATGTCACTGATTGCTTATTGCATCTAGAATTGTCTGTATTGACACCTCAATTTGCTCAGCTCCTGTAAAATGGTGTTTCAAATAATTTTCCTGATTAAAACTAATTCCATTAGCAATGGAAAAAGGGACAGGTCTTGGAAGTCCCAGGTGGAGCCTCGGAAGACAATGCCTGGAATGCAAATGCTTCAAATGAACTTGAATCTTCTCCAACACAGACAAAATGTCCGTCATCATCTAACTTCAGGACGCGGCTGAAGACCGTTTACTCAGATACACCTGCCCCAGGTGAGGCGCATTGTTTCCAGGTCTCCCCGGGTCCCGTGGCCCCCTAGTGGTCTAGGCCAGAGCTACTCCCCCTTCACTGCGCCACAAGTTCCTTGGGGCGGGGAGAGTCTTGTTAAGATACAGATGCCCATTCAACAGGTCTGGGTTAAGGATCTAGGTTCTGCATTTCCTGCGAGCTCCCGGGTGCTGTCAGGCTGCTGGGGGCCACTGAGTAAGTGGCTAAGTGGCTCTCCCAGCTGAGACGGATATAGCAAGGATACAGCTGCAAATCGGGCACCTGCCACCAGGAGGGCGTGGCAGGAATTCAGAGGTGGACAAGGCCAAGGAGACCCCGGAGAGCGGTTGCGATTGAAAGAGAAAACTCCAGTGAAATTTCTGGAGGAAGCCTGTGCAGGAAGCGAAGTCTGAAACTCCTCGGGGCTGGAACAGCTTTAGCCCAAGAGTCCCTGCGGGTGCAGGTGCAGGTCCAGGTGCGGATGCGGGTGCGGGCGTGGGTGCGGGGGCCAGGGCGCGGTCAAACCCTCTGCGGAGCCCGAAGCCTGGCAGGGCTTCGCCGGCCGCCTGCCGGGTTAGGGGAGGCTAGGAGCCCTCGCGAGGTGGCGCCAGAGCACGGAGATTCCTCGGGCGGGCTGGGCGGGCTGGAGCCCGGGTTCAAATCCCGCCTTTGCCATTTACGTGCCCCGTGAACTTGGGCTCGTTGAACAACCTCTGTAAGCTTCAACTTCCTCGTGTGTGAAGTGGGGCTAATACAAGTTAGTTATAGCTACGTGTCCCTTTTTATTGCTTGTATTAGTCATTGGTACATTTTTTTTCTTGATAAGTTTTAAGATATAACTGCAACCGTTTTACTAGTCTTTTCAAGTTACCGACGATAA